CCCCCTCACCTTTCACCTCGGAAGGCCTTTCCCCCTTTCCCCCGAAGGGCGGCCCCGCCCCTGGGGGCCCCTCCCCCTCTTCCCCTCCCCACCCTCTCCTCCTCCTCCGCCTCCTCCAGTTCCTGGACATCATGAAGGAGTTCAAGGCGCAGTCGATCGACACGCCCGGGGTCATCGACCGCGTGCTGCAACTTTTCCACGGGCACCGGGAGCTCATCCTCGGATTCAACACCTTCCTCCCGCCGGGGTACAAGATCGAGTTCTCCGACGACGAGAAGGCGCCGCGCGTACAGCTCAAGTACCCGCAGGGGGTCACCGGCCCTCAGCCGCAATACAACCCGCTGGGGCAGCCGCCCGGGGCGCCCGTGCCATCCATCATGCCGCAGCAGCCGCACCCCGCCGGGTCGCTCCAGCCCGGCTACCAGGTCGGCCCGCCCGGCGCGGCGGACTATCCCGGCCAGCCGGCGCCGCAGGCGCAGCAGCCCTTGCCCTCGCCGCCCACCCCGCCCGGGAAGAGAAAGCGCCTTCAGACGGGGCAGACACGGCCGTCCGCACACCCCGGCCCCCGCTCCTCCCTCGCTCCCCGGGGGGCAGCCGCTCGCTCCCCCCCCCCCCCCCCCTTCCCCTTCCCTCCCCCCGCGCGCGCTCCGCCCGCCCTCTCCCAGCTCCACTCCCCCGGCTCCCCTCCCTCTCCGTGCCCCTCACCGCACCGCCGCCCGCCCGCAGGCGCAGGCGCAGGCGGCGCAGGCGCAAGCGCAAGCGCAAGCGCAAGCGCAGGCAGCGCAGGCGGCGCCGCCGCAGCCGAAGAAGGCGCCGATCGAGTTTGACCAGGCGATCAACTACGTCACCAAGATCAAGACGCGCTTCGCGAAGCAGCCCGAGACGTACAAGGCCTTCCTCGAGATCCTGCACACCTACCAAAAGGAGCAGCGCACGATCAAGGAGGTGTACGAGCAGGTCGGCTCACCCGAGACCAGCCGAGAGAGAGCCCGAGAGTGGGAGGTCCAATCGAGGAGGTGTTGCACGAGCAGGTCTCGACCCTCTTCAAGAACCACACCGACCTGCTCGCCGAGTTCTCCCAGTTTCTGCCCGACGGCAACCCAGACGCGCCGGGAGGCACCGGCGGCATGCTCCCCTTGAACATGCAGCCCAAAAAGGGCAAGGGGATGGCGGCGGACCCGCAGGGGCGGGGCGGCGCCAAGCAGCAGGCGGCGGCGCGGCCGGGCGGCAAGTTCCCGCAGCAGCGGCCAGGCGGGGCGGAAGAGGACGACGAGCGGTTCTGGCCCAAGGGCAAGGGCGGCAAGGCGCGCGCCGAGGGGAAGGCGCGCGCCGAGGAGCCGCGGCAGCCGGCCAACCGCTCGCCCGAGGCCGAGTTCTTCTCAAAGTGCCGCTCGCGCATGCCCAAGGCGCTGTACCTCGAGCTGCTCAAGTGCCGACCTAGAGCCGAGATCAGCCGAGATGCGCCGAGATGTGCCTAGATCAGCCGAGATGCGCCGAGATCAGCCGAGATGTGCCGAGACGTGCTTCGAGCTTGCTGGAGTGCTCCGCCCGTCCTCGCGGCAGACCCTCTGGCCTGGCGCCTGCTGAACCGCCCCGGAGCCTGCTCTGAGACGGGCCCGGAGCCTCGCCCCCGGGGGCGGGTGCCTCCACCTGTACTCCCGCCCCCACCTGTACTCGCAGATCCATATCTCACCAGATCTCCCCATATCCCCCCACATCTCAGGTGCCTCAACCTGTACTCGCAGCAGATTCTCGAGCGCTCCGAGCTCTTCACCCTCGTCCTCGACCTCTTCAAGCGCTCCGAGATCGGGCTCTTCACCGCCTTCCGCCGTCTGCTTGGCTACCAAGGCGGCGACCCGGTCGACGCGCCGTCGCCGCCGCAGTCCAAGGCGCCGATCGGCCGAGTCGATGGCCCTGCCCGTGGCCGAGAGGGGCAGCCGAGGTCACCCGAGATTGCCGCGCGCCTAGGCGCCGATTGCCGAGGGCGGCTCCTTCCGCGACTTGGACTTTTCGACGATGAAGAAGCACGGCACCTCGTACCGCATCCTCCCAGACTCGTACGAGATGCCCTCCTGTTCGGGCGCAGATTAGCCGAGACAGGCCGAGATTGGCCGAGATTGAAATCTCCCAGACGAGATCGAAACGCCGCAGCTCCAGCGCCCTCGCCCGCCCGCCCGGCTTATCCCGGGTGGTCTCTCCCCCCGTAGGGCGCGGCCCGCTCGAGCAGCTGGTCCTCAACGACTCGTGGGTGTCGGTCCCGACGGGCACCGAGGACCTCAACTTCAAGACGATGCGCAAGAACCAGTACGAGGCGCGCGTCCTCTCAGTCTCTGTCTCTGTCTCTGTGTCTGTCTGTCTGCTTGCCTGCCTGCCTGCCTGCCTGCCTGCTTGCCTGCCTGCCTGCCTGCCTGCCTGCCTGCCTGCCTGCCTGCCTGCTAGCCTGCCGGCCTGCCTGTCTGTGTCTGTCTGTCCGTCTGTCTGTCCGTCCTCCGCGCCGAGGCCGGGGGGGCGCGGTGGGGGTGTGTGAACAGCGTCTCTTCACGGCCGCAGCGGTGTGGACAGGAGTCCATCTTCCGCGCCGAGGACGAGCGCTTCGAGCTCGACACCACCATCGAGACTAACGCCGCCACCCTCGTCTACCTGCAGCCCCTGCAGGCCGAGACCGCCGCGAGGGCCGGGGCCCGAGCCGCGGCCCCTGCCTCAACCCCCCCCCGC